ATGCGTTGAAATATTTTAGTTGATATTTTAGATTGTAAAATGCTATTGATTTTATCTATTGATTTTTATCTATTGATTTGTTTTACCTTGTGGGCTTATAGCCGAATAAAGTATTATCTATCTATCTTACATTGTCTGGTTTCCTTAAACCAGGGATGAGAAACTTCCTTACCTTGACAGTTTTGTTGATCTAATTATCATCAGCGGTAGCCATCATGGCCAGTGATCATGGGAGTTGTAGTCCAACACTATCTGGAGGGTCACAGGCTTTCTCATCCCTGCCTTATACCAGAGTTGACCACAGTTAATTTAAAATGGAAGGAAAAGTCTCTGGTTTTCTCCTAGTGGCTGTGCCAAGGAGATGCTAAATGTTCAAAGGCACAAACTAAAGACCTATCTCTACTCATCTGCACCTGGTACAAATATAGACCAGCTTGTTTTACATTCACTTTGGAATGCAAAACAGTTACTTTAAAATTCTTATGAAAGTGACGAGGCTGATTGCATAAGGCACAGCGTGGTTAAGGTTTTCATGAGCTATCTAGCCTTGCTCACAAAATTGTGCCTTAATCCTCCCTGCCTATGTTCCTCAACTGTGCTTTCCAGAGCAGGGAATGGTGATGGTTATGCGATATTATCACAGAGAATGTGGAGAATGTTCATTATGAAAAATCTTACAATAGTTTATGACGGTGCATCATTTATGAGCCACTTTTCACATTTGAACCTTTATCAGTAGAGACTAGTATGCTAACATGTTACTCCTGGTAGAAAACAGACAGATTTATTGTAGTCACACACAGCAAAAATCCGCCTACAGAATATGTGCATGAGTGTGCAACATGCGTTAAAGGCCACATAGAGATTTCATTGAACATCTATTACTCATGCAAAATGAAATTCTTTTTGAATGTGACTAATCTGTACTGCGGATGACAAGCAAAATTGAGGGAGATGCTAAATGTCCAAAAATGAAAAGAGTGCTTTATTTTATTGCTGGTGAGAAAACATGGCTTTGGGGCATAAAGAGAAGTTACTCGCTTAAAAACAAAACCCAACACCTCACTGAGTGGCCCGTTTGCACAACACCCCAGTTGCACACTTTTCTCTAATACATACAGTAGGTCCACAACTTATGTGGGGGTTACGTTCTGGGGATCATAAAAAGGTAAAACCAAAATTGTGTACAATCAAAACCCATTGGGTTCAATGGTGGATGGGATTCCCAAAGTCATTTCCCCTGGAACCCTGTCCCCTTTTGAATATTTTTGTCGCATGTGCAAAATCTAAATGTACGCAAATTGCAGGCTTACTGTACTAATAATCCAGACTTCCCTAACCTTCTGCCCTCCAGGTGTTTTGAATTACCATCATCCCCCAGGAAGTACAGCTGGTCCAATACATTTGGTGAGCACCAGGTTGGGTTGGGCTGTTATAATGTATTGGCTTACAAATCATGGTTAATCTTATCCATACCGACCAGGCTGGTTTTTTACCTAATAGGCAAATAAAAGACAACATAAGACATACAATAAATATCATTGAGTACTTAGAATGCAAAAACGAAATCCCTGCATCTTTACTGTTTATTGATGCCGAAAAGGCATTCGATAACGTATCCTGGCGTTTTCTTATAAAATGTTTGGAAATGACAGGGATAGAGGGCACATTCCTGGAAGGAATAAAAGCAATTTACTCACAGCAAAGTGCTAAACTAATTATTAATAATAACTTAACAGAACCCTTTGAAATCTCGAAGGGTACTAGGCAGGGGTGCCCTCTGTCACCTCTTTCTGTTTATTATGATGTTAGAGATAATTACAAATAAGATAAGAAAAACTTCAGAGATACGCGGAATAAAAATAGGAGTGAAAGAATACAAATTGAAAGCTTATGCTGACGACCTTATGTTGTCTTTGGAGGATCCAGAAGAGAGTGTCAGTAAGGTGTTAGATCTGTTAGAAGAATTTGAAAACTATCTGGTTTTAAATTAAACAGAACAAAAACTAAAATGTTGATTAAAAATGTAGAAGAGAAGGTAAAAATCACCTTGAATCTCAGACTGGAATTAAAGTAACCAAAAAGTAAAATACCTTGGAATCTGGTTAACGACAAAGAACATTAATTTGATGGAAGACAATTATACAAACCGCATGGAAAGAAATAAGGAAGGACTTAGATACCTGGAATAGAATAAAGTTATCCTGGTCGGGGAGAATGGCGGCAATAAAAATGAGTCTATTACCGAAACTGCTATTCTTATTTCAGAATATACCAATAATCAGGGGAACATCAATATTCAAGGGCTGGCAGAAAATACTTTCTAAATTCATCTGGCAAGGAAAAGGCCGAGAATTAGATTCAAATTACTCACAGACCAAAGAGATAGAGGAGGATTCGCAGTCCCAAATTTAAAGTTATATTATGAAGCCTCATGCCTCTGTTGGGTCAAGGATTGGATTATTATAAAAATAAAGATCTGCTAGATTTAGAAGGATTTGATTTAAGATTCGGTTGGCACGCTTACCTCTGGCGTAATAAGGGAAAGTTCCATAAAGGATTTTCTGACCATATCTTCAGTGGGCCAGTACTGGAGGTGTGGAAAGAAATAAAAATTATTGGAACAGAATACCCTTTGGTGGCTTTCGCCAATCGATATCCTGACAATAAAAACAAATATCGAAGGAGAAAGATGGACCTACGAAGATTTATTAGTGAAAACAGAGACCGGTTGGAGGATTAGGCCATATGAAGAAATAAAGAACAAAATGACAGGTTGGATCCAATTTCATCAAATCAACTCTATCTGGACCGAGGATAAAAAAAAATGGGATAAGTGAGAAAAAATCTAGATTCCAGATTGAAATATTAGAAAGTAAAACAAAACTCCTATCGAAAATGTATAGCCTGTTGCTCGAATGGGACACCAAAGATGAAGAAGTAAAGGAGGTAATGGTGAGATGGGCAATGGACTTTGGGTATAACATAGAGTTTGATAAATGGCAGGCACTATGGAATAAAGGTATGAGATTCTCGGCATGCACAACACTCAGGGAAAATATGTACAAAATGATGTACAGGTGGTACGTAACGCCCGTAAAACTGGGAAAAATATATAAAACTGGTCATAAATTATGCTGGAAGTGCAAGATTAAGGAGGGCGATTTTTATCATATGTGGTGGTTGTGCGAGCCTATTAGAAAATTTTGGGAATCTATTTACAATGAACTAAAAAAAATCTTTAAATATACCTTTATAAAGAGACCTGAAGCCTTTTTGCTGGGGATAATTGGAGAGGAAATCAAAAAGGAAGATCAAACACTCTTTTCAGTACGTGACAGTGGCCGCCAGAACTCTAATAGCGCAGAATTGGAAGACACCAAGAATCCCAACCATAAATGAATGGCAATCGAAACTACTCGACTATCTAGAATTGGCAAAAATGACACAGAAAATAAGAAATCAAAAAGACACAAAGTTTAATAAAGATTGGAATAAATTCATGGCATACATGGAAACAGAGGTAAAAAAAAACTAAAAAAACACAGTAGGTGCGATATAACACTTGTGATGTAAAGAATTTTTTTTTGAGGAAAAGAAACTGCAGATAGAAAATTTTATAACACATTCCGAAACCGAGATGAAGGGAAGTCAGTCAGTGTTGTGTGTTAAGTAGTTAATGTAGTTAATTTGTTGTTGTCTTATGTCAGGAGTATGTATATGTATGTATATGTTTTTTTTGGTGTGAATGTGTTGTGTTTGTCTTTTTGTTTGTATGGTGTTATAAAATAAAATTTATATTAAAAAAAAAA